GTAAGAGCAAAGCTGTCTACTACCAAAAATATTATAATTGCATGTGCAGTTCAACATAATATTACTTTGATTTCTGGACTTCCACTGGACATAGAAGACATGCATTAAGAAGTAATACGGCTTTAGTTAGTTAGGTAACTACTATGTTCCATACATTACTTTAAGTGGTGAACGATTCATGTCATTAAATTTTAATAAAACAGTGGTTCTATATTATTTCTTTATTAAAGCCTTTTCATTCATTCTTAAATTATGTTGCCTTAAATTGTCTAATTCTTACTTCATTGAGGTCTTTAATAAGGAAGCTTACCTCAATATGTATGATAATTCACCTGTGAGGTAATATGAAGAAAACCAAAGGAAAGAAATATAGATTTATTTTTTCTATACAGGACTCTGCATTTCATTAATATCACAGCTTATATTATAGATATACATAAAAAAAAAATCTGAACTGCCATACTTTGTACAATATTTGCACAAAATAGAAATGCGGAGATAAATTTTCTCTTAAATTAAATTATATATGAATGCATAAAAATTAATAAACTAAAAATCTCCTATATCCATTACTCTGCATATAACAACTTGTATTATATATCTACCCCCCCCCAAAAATGAACTTTAGTCTATAGCACAGTAAAAAGAATTGCAATTATTGAAAATCACAGCATACCTGTATATCATAAAAAAAAAAAAATCTTAGCTGCCATACTTAAGACAGCAATTGTAAACAATGGCAAAATAAAGAAATGTAGATTTATTTCCTTTAAATAAAATTATTTTAAGGTGTAAGACATAAGAAAATAAATTTATAATCTAGATGCCACTTTACGATATATCACAGTACCCCTGTATAGAGTAAAATCATAAACATTGCATATGACTGTATGTTATTACTCAACCATCATTCATAAGTTTTAGCCATGGCATCATATGCAGTTGATGCTTTCCTTAAACATGTATCTAACAATTCAAAAGATTTATTAATTTTTTCAAGCGTCTTTTCAATCACTCTAATTACAGTTTCACTTTATCTTTCTTTGAGTGTATGTGCTGATATTATGGCCTTCACTTTCAGTTCCTCCTCATGCTCTCTTTTCATTGTGTACAATTTATATTGGTGAGGCAGGAACAGAGGGTGAAATTAGAAGTCGAAAAACAGAAGTAGATGGTGCAGAAGACACAGTTGATAGCCCTGGTGTTGGAACAGGCAAAACAAGAGGATCATGGGAGTGAGGAAGTTCAGGTACACTTGCAGAAGTCTTCCGCATGACACGAGCACTGGGTGGCGATTTCTTCTGAAGCTAATGATAGTTTTTCTGGAGGACCACCACCCGCTCTCCTATATCTCTGGTTTTAGTTCTGAAAGAAACAGAAGAATATAAATGCTTTATACAGTACTAGGCTACATTCATATCTACATTAAAATTTACTATGATATGCTGGTAAAAAGGACTCGTGCTTCTGATAAGTTCTTGGAGGTGACCCTTCAGAAACTGAGCATAGACCTGTTTGAAGCTATCTTGCCAGAATAATTTGGCTTGCTAAGTGTGTATTGCCAGGCAACTACTGGAAAGTACACTAACTCTGCAGAATAATATGTTTCATATAGATTTATATGCTGTATAGCTTGGTTCTAGGATAATTGCCCCCCAATGCCAGTGAATAACTGGCACAAAACATGGAAATAACCTAACTTTAACTTAAAATAACCTATCCTTACCTAACTTAACCTATTTTAACCTAACCTATTTTTAACTTAACCTAACTTTATTTTAACCTAACCTAACTTTAACTCACATGACTCCTCACATGACCCGTCACTTAAATACTATAATCCTACTCAATTTAGTAACCTAATGGCAAAAATCCTTATTTTTAAATACTAAACTTAGAAATAAGCATATACTTACTCCTTTTTATGTTGGAGCTCCTCTTGAGGTGCTTGGCTGTAAGAGGGAGTTGATCTTGGTTGCTGGTGTTTAATGAGGCAGTAATTTCATCCTAGGCCTTTCTTTTGCTGTCATTTATTGTGTTACAGTACTAGTAGACCTGTCCTCGACGACTGGCCTTTGCTCGATAAGACGCAAAAGTGCTATGTGCAGGGTTACTGACAGGGCTGCAGAACGTTCTCTCCTCTCCATGTTTGATAACACCTGCGCAAACATTGGTGCCAAGTACAGGGATGAAAAAATTGTCTGTAATTTGTTTAGAACAGATACTAAAGTTCAATTTGAAAAAAAAGAAGATATTTTTCAATATATTATTGTGCCGGTATAAAATAACAACTAAATATCTCTCTAAACCGTCTTTCTAATTATGTGAAATAATGGATTTGGCAAGCGCGCGTGGGACACGTTTGTGCTGCCATACGAAACGAAGTGTTGTGTTTACACACGCTATATTCCTAGTTAAAGGCTCATGTAAGTGACTAGCAATATGGTACTGAGCGTCGGGTGGTTGCATCCCGACACACGATGCATCGTGATGATGATGGTGATCGTCATTATCGTCGTAATGACTAGGAATACGGCCCATTATCACACTGTGCGGGACTCGCCATGTGTGGTGTGACTGCTTACGGTCATTATGCACCTCCACTGTGATTCTGTGTATACCCTACATATCACCACCCAGGATAAGAGAAAATCATTGCATGCCTGAGAAGTTTTGCGGTCGCTACGTGGAACTACTTACTAATGCCAGGCGTGGAACCAGTACTGGTATGATTACCGGGGAAATATCCCATCTGCTCATCAAGAGTAGTGTGTGAACGAGGTATCTAGTATGTGTACCTAAGAATACCAAGGAGTTCCATACTTGTAGGTGTGAAGTGTACCCGGGATGTGGTGCTATGATACAAGATGTGGTGTAGGGTGACAATAGTGCATAGGGGTGAATTTCTAAAATTGATTAAATGGAATGGCCATTGGTCCAATACTGCGTACCCATGAAAAAAGAACACAGGCGAAATCCTGGGTCATTTGGACAATATTTAGAGGTAGCTCAAGTCAATTGAAGTTTTATCCTTTTGGCAAAAAATACGAATATTCATAATATGCCGGTTTATTTTAAAATTTACATATTGAGCAAGTTTATGTGTACACTGTACATATAAATGATTAATTCCTTTTTAAAATGAAACTGCAGTGAACACGCTTACATCAATGGGTGGGAGAGGTGTGGACAACCCATTCATTGTTTTCGCTTTTTTGCTTGTAAGGTCCTGTTTTGATGTCCCTGGTTGTGACCGCCTCTGCTCTTCAACAACCTGCAGCAGATGTTGACGCTGGTCTTCACTCTTCGTGATCTTGCTGTTGAATGCCTGTATCAAGGCAATCCCTCTCTCTGCAGTGTCGTTGATGACTCTGAGACCACCCACAACTGCGACGCCAGTTTTGAAGTCTTCATCATCAGACCATGTGTCAGGTTCCTTGGACAAAAAAGAAGTCTTCATTTTGAGACTTTCAAATAGAAAGTTTGATCCTCTAGAAGCCAAGTCTGAGAGCTGCTTTTTGGGAAGGGAAGATGTGGCAGGAAGAGCAGCACGTTTTGGTGAATCCTCGGTCGCCTTCCTCTCAACGATTGCCCGAACTATGTTTGTCTTCATTGTTGCATTAACTTGTGGATCGAAAAGTGCAAGACCCACCAAGCCTTCACTGAGGTACCACAGGTGACGACCGAAGACTGTGAGACATGTTCTTGATATTTTGACGTCGTGGTACTCTGACAGGTCTTGGAGGAGCCGCAAATCATTAGCAGGAGCGGAGGATGGAACGGAGGCCGTGAACCATGCACTGACATACACCTCTAGCACAAAGAATGTGAATCGTTTCAAGCCTAATGTCTCACGAGCAGTTAGTTTAAACTGATTAGCAAAAATCAGGATCTTCATGACATAAATGAGCTTAGCCATCCACCGTGCTCGGTGAAGTGCTCCGGGCCGTCGGAGATTAAACTTGGGTAGAGTTCCATCGAGACACCTGATTTCTAGCTCCAGTACCTCACGGTAATCATCACGTGGCTGCTGCTTCTTGCCCAGATGATGTTTCCAGCAACAGATGAGGTCATCTCGTTTCTCGTACAAACTTGGAGGGAGGTCTGAGAGAGGGCTGTAGTCATCTTGACTGATGTCCTTCCACTTATGCTTGAAGCGAGAGAAGAGAGTAATATCTGGTCCAGAGGAAGGCCCCATGCATTCCACATACGCTTTCTCGGCAACAAGCTCAAGGATGTGGGGACGACACGCGAGATGCAGAAGACGGCGGCCGAGTTTCTGCTCCAGAATGACACATGCCCCCGACAAGTGCCCAGTGTTTGAAGCTGTTGTGTCAAAACTGAGTGCTGAAACATTCTCTGATATTTTCTACTCTTCCAGCGCTGCACTGACTGCTGTAGCAATGGCCTGTCCAGTCCCTGACAATAGTTTCGGGACACCAAGCAGCTTTTCAGTATTGATTCCGGAGACAAGAATGGCGATTCGGTCAACACTCGCTCCTTGTTCATCAGGAATAATTTTTCCATCCCAGTGCACAGTGAGCACTTCACTAGGTTGAAATTTTTCTTTAATTTCGTTGGCAATCCCAGAACGGTGGGTCGCTCGCGAAGTACGCACTGTCTCATAGTTTAAAACTAGTTCCATTGGGTCATGACCTAGACTAGCAGCCGTGGCACTGACGATCCGGAGAGTAGAGCGGTGACTGATCCCAGTGCGGTCCAATGTACTTGACAATTCAGGGGTGATAACTTTGAGAGTAGCACGTTTACGATTGGAAGAAGATACCACTGGTGATATCGCTAGGGAACTTGTAGATGATGACGAGCTTGATTGTGATTCTGTTTCAGACGAAGAACCCAACTCATCATATTCAAGAGCAGAACTGGCTTGATTCTGTTGTAGAGATTGCTTACTCTTGCTTTCTTCCCGACGCTTGATGGAACAAGCAATCTTTTTGTCTACTCCTGCCATTACACCTCTTCTCCCTTTTTCTCGTTGCGCTGCCAGGAATGCTCGGTCTTCTTTGATGGTCAAGAGCTGCATTGCCTTGGGGTGGGCAACATCGAAGAGGTCCTCAAACTCATCACAAAAAGTTTCCTCTTTCTTACGTTGTGTGTCTGTAGTGCGAGTGCAGTTTTTCTTAAGTCCCTTCCACATTAAAAAAAGATCCACTACCTTTCGTCCAATACTCTTCTCAGTTATGGTAGGAATCCGTGCTTTATTCCAGAAACTAATAACCGATGCTGCAACTTCACTCGCAGAATCATTCACTGTTTTCTTATGTTCATTGTGACCGTGGAAAAACAGACGTAGAACATCTCCTCTTGAAGGAAGTTGTGCACCCGTGATTTCGGTTATGTGCTGACCAATGAGCCAAACTTCAGTTTTTGAACGTGTACTCTCCATTGAACCTGAAACAAACAAAAACATTTATGTAACTTATGTTGTTACTGTTATGCAAACAACAGCACCCATAAAGCATACGGCATGCAAGATCACTTGTATAAAGTTTTTAAAGTGTTATATACCTAAATTGATGCATTGATTTTAGACAAAGACAATGGTACTAACCGTAATACTGCAACAAGAGCGACGCACACACACTCACCGTCACGTCTCACACACAACTGATGCTACTGTACCAGTCAGACACTGGCACACAACCTCTTCCCCCTACCCCGACTGACACCCGCCTCTCCCTCCCCTCTGCATTGCCAATAGCTGCACCAGCCAAAATACTCATTACTCATTTTTAGAAAAAATGTTAGGAACAACTTTAGTTTGAATTTGCATTCTACATATACCTGCAAAGTTTCATAGTAATCGGTTCATAAATAAAGAAATTAGAAAAAATCAATAATAATTTCAGTAGTGTTAACTTCAAATGGCTTGAGCCCCCTCTAAATATTGTCCAAATGACCCAGGATTTCGCCTGTGTTCTTTTTTCATGGGTACGCAGTATTGGACAAATGGCCATCTAAAAATAAAAACTTTCACTTTTTATTGTCACCCTAAATTGTGGTGCTATGATATAACATGTGGTGCTGTAATGTAACATGTGGTGCTATACTCTAACAGGTGGTGCAGTCTGATGTGTTGGGTGTCATGATTGTTATGAAGAATGAAGATGATTATAGCAACTATTTGATGTAAGACGTGTATTGATGTGAAGTGTAATGCAAATAATAGTTGTTCTTCTGATGAAGGCCAACTATTTTTGTATTGTGATGGGATGCAATATGTTTTATAAAGAATAAATTAGTTAAGTCATGCTTGCTGTTTCACCCTTCTTCCCACTCTCGATTTGGTCAATGAAAAACCCAACCCAATGCCAAGCTTACTTTGCCCGCTACCTAACGAGCTACATACTGTCCAGGGGGTTTGGTGGCAGCTACCTTAAAATTAAGAATATAGTTAAGTTATTCCCTTAGAATTAGTGACCCCAGAATCTGGCAGCATAACCTTACCAGGAACCGGGCGGTACCCGACCCCCACAGACTCGAACGTTTTGTTACTTACATTTCACCTCATGTTTAGCCTATTGCTACTGCACTATTCAGTCTTATTCAGGTATTCCACATCACTATAAGAGAGGAGTAGCAAACGCAATGTTGGAATACACAATATATTGACAAGAAACACCAACAACCAGCAATAATCAAACATTAACAATCACCACTCATGCAACAGTTACATAAATATAATACAATACTCTAACAATCACCCTAATCCTACCACAAAGAAATGTACATAAACATTACAAACTTGCATTACATTCTAAGTCAGAGTAACACAATTTGCAATCAACCACAACCTGCTCCCCCGACCACAGACCACCAGCTACACACCCACGTCCGTCCCGGAATGCTCTGCTCTCCTCCCTGGTGCACCGCTTCATTATAACTCCGTTCGAGATCTGAGCAACACAGATACGGAGCTCCGGAGAGCCTAACCATGAGCCCGAGTTATGGGCCATCCAATGTGTCCCTGATCTATGACTCGAGGTCCGGAACATCGAGTCCGGAGATCGAGTAACGGGGGTGGAGCGTTGGTCGTTCAGCAACCAAACACGGGTTCTCAAGCATATTCTATATGAAGCTTCATAATAATATACATTTTTTATTTTGGGTATTGTGTATTTTAACTAAAAGGTTAAATATCGTAAAATTTTTCCTGGTAGGTGTTTCCAAGACCCAATCACATCCCTGCCTTTCTGTGTCTTCAAGTGAATGTGAACAAGTGGTTTTGAATGATATGTTAGTGCTATTTAAAAAATAATAATATAGCAATACCTACTTTTTGTATATGAACTTTTTTACTTTTGATGATTGATAAATTTTGCCATTTTTTTTAAACATTCACTGCAGCAAGTCCAAAGAGGAATCCTGAACATTGGGTTACTTTTAAGTAACACGACAAATTAATCTGTCATACCAAAATAACAGCTTTGATGAATTCACTTTTCGGGTCACTTTAAACTGACCTGATGTTCGGGATTCCTCTTAGGACTTGCTGGACTGAATGTTTAAAAA